ATCACACACAAAAAAAAAAAATGTGTGTCAACTAATTACTCTTATCCCATGTTTTAAATACCCTACCATACCGGCCGGTAATATCGGTAATACTGGATACCGGCCATTGGTACGGTACAATTGCACACAAAATACCGGATTTACGGTTATACCAGTTTGTACCGGGATCATACCATAAATACCGGAAAATACCGGTCCAAAATACCGGTCAATAATAAAAAAAATAAAAAATAAAATTTATTAATTTAAAAATATAAAATTTAAATTGGTAGTTAAAATGTTTTATTTTTATCTCATTGAGAAGTTGAAATTAATGATAATGGTCATTTTTTTTTTTGTTACATTTGGTATTATATATTTTTATGTATATTTATATATATCATTATTTTTACTAGTTCGGTAATACCACCGATATTACCGGTCTGATCGGTAATACCACCTACCGGTGGCTAGACCGGTATTTAAAACACTGCTCTTATCTAGATAAATGATAATTATTATCAATGATCTTGGATTAATAAAGACCCATGTTCCCAACGCCTGGGCATTTCAGTGAATTAATGAATTTCTATCGCCTAACATGAAGCGCACAAGACCAGATTTGCAGCCACGCGAATCTTTATTCTTTTATTGCTAACATGGTTGGGATAACTCACTAATCCAGAATAAATAGTCAAATGCAACTGGTTAATTTAGAAAACTTATCTCTTAACTTGTTTTGATTGTTTTCAGCTGTTTAGTTTGGAAAGGTTACTAAACATCATCTCCAACTCTGGTTGTTTTCAGATGTTCAGTTTAGAAATATTACCTTTAACTTCGGTTGTTTTCAGAGCAAGGTAGTTGTCTTGATAATTATCCAATTTCAAAGTATTTTAACTTCAACGATATAAATCTAGGACAAACACAAAAAACAAAAAAAGAAGACATTTTGTATTATAAAATTTCAACGATAACTGTTTGTATATTGACGATAGTCGTTAGCCATAGTCATAACTCATAATCATAACTATTAGATGAAAACTGTCGCATTTAATTTTTACATTTTTCCGCTATACCAACTCCTGGAGACTTTTTTGTATGAGGAAATATATTTAATGCTACAGACATTAAATTGCAACAATAATTCCTACCTTGGTGTGGCGTAAGCAACTATTTCTCTGAAAGAAGCCATTCTTGATTTGGTCAGACTGTTTGGCGACAGCAGTACGGCACACCAAGTTAGATAGAAATCGTGTGTCCAGAAGCACGACTAATTACTCTTTCTTCTATATTTTTTTTTTTTTTTGGCAGTCATTGAAGATCCAAGTCACGAATACTGGAATCGGACTTTCTTGGGCTGTGTTCGTGGTNGGTTAAGTTAACTAATAAACCACTAGGAAAAAAAACATATCAGCATATAAAAAATGAAAAGATAAAATTAAAAAAAAATATATCGAGGGTTAAGTTAAGTAATAAAACATCCTCGAGGTTCAGTTCAAAATGCACACAATTAATAATTACTCAAATGATGGTCTCATAATGATGAGCCACGTTACTATTTTGGTGTCCCACAACGCCACAAATGATAGTAATAGACATGTAACTTTAAATGGAGCATTTATGGATATTATGATATAAACTATGTTTGGTAACCAAATAAGCTAGCTTAAAGTTTATTTGGTTAGCTTATAAACTTCTTGTATTCAAATAAGTTTCGTTTGGTAGGACGGACATTTTAAAAAACTCGAGCTTATCTCATAAGCTTCTTTAGTTAGCTTTTCAAATAAGCTCATTGAAAGTTTTATTTCAACTAGCTTATCAGCTAATTTTACCACACTTTTATCATATAAGCTAGTTTTTCAGCTATAAGCTCGAAAATCACTTATAAGCTACAACTAGTTTTACCAAATATAGCCATATTATAATCACCAACTTGGACCGCATATTTGGGAATTGGAAGTGCTTCTACTTTTTACTTAGTGTTTTCTCAAACTTCATGAAAAATGCAAAAAAAACTAGCTTTGTAATACAGATGAAGTATAATTTAGAGATAATTGCACTAAACTTTAGAGGTACGCTTTGCAATTTAACCTAGCATATACAATACCAATGAAACATGCATATGCAAAATCGCAATTAAACATACTAACCATTTTCATCAACTGTATCAACTCATTTAATGCATTTTTAAAGAGATTGGGGTGTGCCAAATCTGGAGTGGATAGAATCTCTTGTCTACAACGATGAGAAATGTTCACCTCCATTGCTGCACCTGTCCAGGCAAAATTCATGGAAAAAATATAATAAGATAAAACTACCAACAATAATTCTCTCTCTTAAAAGAAGTCAAATGATCAGAAAAGATTAGAAAGTGGAGCTGAAAAGTCAACATGAAAGCAAAAGAGTATACTGCACCGGGAATGATATAATGGTCGATAATGTGCCGTGCCATGTAAATTCTTCTCACATGATCGATAATTGGAATTTTGTCAAACTGTTGAACCTCCTCATAGAAATGGACACTCTCCCCAGCCATGCAGCTTCATTAGTCGAATAGGCAAATCTTAATATAATCACAGAAGGAACCAATATATATAAGAAGAGAAGGGATAATCACAAAAAAGACCTTGAGATTTGAGATATTTACAAAAACAGAAAAGTTTAAGGTAAAAATAAATATATAGAGGCTTCTTGTAATTACAAGTTTTTTCTGTGATTTTACTATTTTCAATTTCTTATTATAAGAAAAATACCCCAAATCTGAGTGTCTAGTTTCTGTAATTATCCCTTAAAATAAATGGAGAGAATATGATCCAACGGGCAATAACTCGACACCTATCGGCAAAGTCCATATATGAGCGACGGAATCTTCTGTTCATAAGAAGCTTATCCAAAGGCACACTGGGATTTACCAAATGGGTCAGCTCCCGGTCCACTAGAAGCCCGCTATCTGGTATACCCAGAGCCCAGCCCATCATACCGCTCACTGGGCGGTCCTTTTCCCTCATGCTCATAAGTGAAACGAGAGGTTGTGATATTGATGTAGTAAAAAATGCCAGCACAAGGACACTTGTCTATGAAACAATTAATCAAGAAAATATCATGGGAACAGAAATGCACAAAATGAAAACTACCGTAAATGGAGAAGTAGAAGCGAAATCAAATTAGAATTAAAAGGCTGATAAATTAAACAATTTATTAATAAAACCAAACTATGTATACCATAAGAAGTAATACAGATCTTGAAATGATTTGAAGCAACGTGTTACTCTCATGTGTCTCATTCAAGACATAAGAAACCACCCATAACCCTGAAGAAAAATAAGAAAAGCCACCGTTAATCTATTGAGCTACACATACTTGAAGCATGGAAAAATTATAGGAACAAAGAACAACAGAAAATGTGTTACCAAGTCAATAGCAGAAATATTTACTATGCGTTAGGTGTTGACTTTGGGATGTAATATCCAGCTAATGTTTATGAGATAGAGAGGATTTAAGTGTTACTGTTTTCAAATGTTAAAAAACTCTTCTTCTTAACATATATCAACTTAAAGGTTCTTTAGATTTCTAGTCTTTTTGGTTTGATCGAACAAACAAATAAGCACTTGCATAACTTATTCACTGAGCGCTCTTTTTAAACTAGTACAACTTTGCTATACTTGCAAACACTGCAGACTCTTGATTACCAAGTACTGTAGAGAGCTTGCAACAAATCAATCGCCTCCTACTGCAATCTCTTTAGCAAGGAAGAAAGATTCTAATAATGAAAATGAAACAAGTTGGAAAATTAAGTTCTACAGGTAGACATTATGTACCGATGCAACATGTGGATACCAAAATCCCTCGCCAGAGGTCCTTCAGTTCTTGGAATCTAAACTCAATATGTCGAATGGCTCCCGTAAGACCAACCACAACAGCAACATATGATGCATGAAGAAACATAACTGGGATAATGTACTGAATCCCCATGTGGCAACGGTTGCTCAGAGGCTTTTCAGTGTATATAACTGAATCAATGATATTCATTTTCATCAGCAAACGACATTAGGAGAATAAGAACACAAGAACAGTAGATCCATTAGATGAACAATCATGTACAAAGTTAGCACGGTGAACCATGAATATAGTCTACGGTATCCACAGGACCACAACGACAGCACATAACATATATATTTGTTCATCAACTTGCAGGTAAGTAGTTTGTCTATTGATTTGGATAAAAAATATATGCTAATGATTAAAATGTCAACAGCCTAGTTTCTTGTATTACATATGCATTTAAGTTATTCAAACAAGAATAACTTGAACTCACTGCCATATTGACAACAAATATGATGTGAACATAACTTAAAGAAATACCTAAATGCCCCAACGTTACAAAAATGAACAATAATAACATGATGATGATGATGATATTATTGGCAACTATTTTGCTGATAAGTCCAGAAAAAGCAACAGCTGCAGAAGCATGCTAAGAATCTTTTACTCAAGGAACTGCTCTACGCATCAACAAAGAACCATGAGGAAAAGTTACACTGACAATTATTTTTGCCAATGAGTTGAATTTTCGAAGCAGCTTGCGAGCAATAAAACAGTTTATTATCCAACCAACTCATCTTAGCATCACCTAAATCCTACTGAGAAGATCTGAGGGTCTTCAGATATTCGTTATAACCCGACATGCCACAACTTGTTAACAACCACAAAATTGCTTTGTTCACTCCCTATTCATACGCTACAAAGTGAATCATAAATGAACACATTAAAATAACCATTAAGGTTTCCTACAAAAAAAAGAAAATGAATGTATGGATGTTCACGTAATCCAAATAATAAATAACAAACTACACCAGCACATTTACTTTGTGAACCTTACATGCTGCACTTGCAATCCAGGGCAACAGCGCCAGTGGAATAAACAAACATGATCTAATGGGTGGTAAACGCCTCCTGAAAAGTCACATGCATCGAGAGAAAGCCACTAAGGTCGCGAGCAAGACTGATTTGCATGTATCTTGTAGGTGGGGAAATAGAAACGACGACATAGATTACAAAATCTACTATTAAATATTTAACGAAAATATGATAGTGAAAAAATGAGTTTCTGATCGGCATTCCCTAAACCCTAGAGCATAAACATGGGAAAACTTTAATATAACATTATTGTTTTTATGACTGAGAAAATATCACCAACCAGTGCATTTTGACACAGAAACCTTTGGAATAAAACTCATGCAACAATAGCACCTATCAGCTCAGCTTTTATTACCATCGCAGAATTTGTGCAACTGAAACTCTGAAATCGAGTTTGTATGCTAGATAACATTCACTAGCAGCAATGCATCATGACATTTGCATTGTTTGGATAGTTGCACTTACTTAACAAATATGTTATATAGTTGAAAAGCTTGTAGAATACGACAGCTCAGCAGCAAGCCAAATCCTAGTGGACCTTCAACCCAAACTGAGAGCAAACAAATATTTGGATCATCAAGTAGCATTAGAATATAGCAGAAATGAAAAGGCAATCAATAGACCAACTGCATAAAGAAATTAATACGGTCACTTCAAAATATAATTACCAGCCCATATATAGCATGAATTCCACCAATTGCGCCTTCTGATTCTAAAAAAACCAAGGGCCATCTGTATCACACCCAACATGAATAATGATACAGTTCAAATAAGAAGGACACTATAAAAGTGTGGCAGTTAAATCTGAGCCACAGATTTTCAAAACATACCACAGTTGACAATAAGAGGTTAAAGCTGGCAAAAACTTGTATTGTTATGAGCCAAAGGTTTCTCCCTTTAGGTCGTGCAATTTTATGAGCTCGATAGGGCGCAACAACCTTTGCAAGAAGTCTGTCACAAAATATAGAAAGAAATAAATAAATTCAAGCATCCCAATAAGCTTTGTGTATTATATATGCCACTGGAGATTATATTATAACATGTTCATGTGATTTTAATGACTCTTTAGAATGGGGACTGAGTAAATGAAATTCTCATAAGAAACTTGAAGGGGACGAAAAACGGAATCTAAAACGTAAGCAAAAGTTATTACAGTTGATTTCAAACTAGCTCAGATTCTTTCATATAAAAATGCTCGGAACTTCCAAACAAAAGTTATTACAGTTGATTTCAAACTAGCTCAGATTCTTTCATATAAAAACGCTCGGCACTTCCAAACAACATAGCTATCTATTTCATATAATTCTTTCTTTCATTTACACAAACAAAAATTCTCGGTGGAACATCCAATCCAATCGTTCTCAACTGAAAAAACTTCTTCCCACCTGAAACAACTACTGGTACAAGAAAATCATTTCAAGATCCCAAAAAGTAGCTGATGGCAATAGCCACTAATTTGAGTCAGAACTCAAATTATACACTCCTAACTACACCAGGTTTTCAACCAGTCCTAAACTCAATCCCATACACTTGCAATAATCACACAAAAGAAAAATCATAGAAATCATTCTGCATAAAAATTCATCAAATTCAGCACTATATCCTCAGAATCACATACAGAACAAGAATCAAATTTTCCATTCCCTCAAAGAAAGGGCAAATAAAATCCCCGAAAGGTGCATTTTGAACCTAAATCACACTCCGAATCAGCTAAATCTTATCAATTGATCTCTCGCACAGAACAAAAAATACGCGGAAAAAGAGATTGGGGAAAAGAAATTACAGGATAAAACAAACGACGGAGATGGAGAAGGCCACATAATCGCTCGGACAGCCTCCTTTAGCCGCACAAGTCGCCATTTATATCGGATTTCAGCTGCTCCGATCGGAAGTTAGTGCCGGAAAATGCTCGACGAGAAATCGCATTGAGACGGAGTGTGTGGAAAAGCTAGTCAAACTCCATGGGATCCTTGTAACCTCACAGTCTTTGGAAGTTGGAACTTTCACTTTTTTTTTTTTTCTTTTGGACCGTTTTAAGATCCAAACAAATTCCGACCATACAACTTTTGGGCCCACTCGATCAATGCTATCATATTTTGGGCCTATAACAAGGGGCGGACCTAAGCAGGGGCCCGTGGGAGCACGGGACCCTGTACAGTTTTTGAAAAAAATTAGTATATCTATAATTATATTATAAAATAATTACAAAGAAATTTTTTCAAAATTTAAGTTGGTTGCATTTTGTATTTGTATTATGTTGTAGGCAACATATATAAATGGGTTACATTGATTTTCCACAAAAGTCAACATTGATTTTGATACATATTGAATTTTAGCCGTTCTTAAAATTATAATTATAAGTTTAAAATTAATTACTAAATTGTGTTTGTCATTGATTTTTTAACTAATAAAATATTTACCTTTATAAGGAAATCCATGAATGCAGACTTTGTAAGAATATCTAATGCAAAAGAAAAAAATATTATATTTGAAAAAAAATATATATTTAATCAGATTTGAATTTATGTAATTACGAGTGATATAATATATAAGAACATGCATAGACAAAATATCATTTTTATTATTATTTTTTTTCACTTTATAAAGGTTACATTTGTGCCCTCAGTCTTGGGAGTGTGCGTTCACCCTGCCTGTAACGGTTGGTACCTGGGCTCTGATTAGTTCGCCTGTCAAGATTTATGGTTCGGGCCAGTCCATCCACAAACCAAATATGACAAAATGAGTGAAAATTAAGGTAAAAGGACACTGCTAAATTTTCTTCCCGAGGCATATGCTTGGGAATTGGGAGTTGGGACAAATATACAAGATCATTGAACAGCTTAGAGCTAGTTTGTTTACAAATAAATCCATTCAAAATGAGTTTTTTTATTAATTAGGGCTGCTCATTCGGTCGAAACCGAACCGAACCGACCGAAATTTCGGTTAATCGAAAATTGGTTTAAGTCCATTATTATAACCGAAAATCGAACCGGTTCAATTCGTTTTCAAGCGAAAATCCAGCGGTTGGTTCGATTCGGTTTTCGGTTAATTGCAATAAATAATTAAACTTCTTAATAAATTTTGAAATTTTAGCCGAACAAAAATTTTGATGTTTTATCCGAACAAAAAAAAATAATTTTTTGTCACCTTGTTTAATCTTCTTAATAAATTCTAAATTCTCCTCAAAGGAATCTTCTTAATAAATTTTAAATTCTCCTCAAAGGAAGATCTCGGATCCGAACCGTGACTTGGACTATGACAAAGCCAATCTTGATTGCAAATTAATGCTTGAGCCAATTTAGGAGTCATTGAAATTTGAAAATAATCAAACATTGAAGCAAATTAATGCTTTTATAACTTATATGTATAAATAAAAAACATGCATATATATTTGTATAAATCGGTTTTCGGTTCGGCTAGGATAACCGATCACAATTATCCAAACCGAACCGAAAACAGAACCAAATATTCGGTTTCGGTTTCGATCGGTTTGGCTCTGTAAACCGAACTTTGTGCACCCCTATTATTAACTAGAGTTCATTTTGAAAAAGTTGGATGGTTAGTTGTTAGTGAGATTTGGTTTTTATATTAATATTTAAAATAAAATAATTAAAGTTAATTTGATGTAAAAGTAGGAGAGAAATTATGTAAAATGATAGTAAGTTAAAAATCAAGGTTGTCAAAGCCGGACCGGTCATCGAACAGGTCAAGCTACTGGTTCAATAATTCACTGGTCCGACCAGTGGTTGAACCGGTTGGACCGTTATTTAATTTATTGATATTTTAAAATATATATATATATATATATATATATATATATAATATTTCATAGATGTAGTTAACTTAATTTTTAAGTTATTTAATTCATTGATATTTTAAATATATAATACTTTATAAATATTAAATATAGTTGACTTATTTTTTAAAAGGTTGGTCCCACCATTTATAGATTAAGCAATAAAATGATAGTACAAAAATATGGAAAAAAAATATTTCCTCACACTCCTACATTGGGCAATAAAATAATAGGAAATAAAGATGAGATATGGGAAAAGAAATTCCTTCCACACAGGTAAAAGGGAAAAGAAAATTCCTTCCATGCGTGGCTTTAGACCTTTACCTTTACAATTGGAAATTTAGAATTCTTACATCTTGTCTCACATCGGTAACCATAAAAGATTAGTTGCTTTATAAAAGTGTTAGAATTTATACATAAAAATTATTTGGCCGGTTCGATCGGTCATTCACCGGTTTTGGCCACAGCAGGTTTCTTTCATTGAACCGGACCGGTGAACTGGCCGGTTCCCGGTTCAATCGGTCGGACCGGCCGGTCCGGTCCGGTTTTGACAACTATTGTTAAAATTATGTGAGTAGATGAATAGTGAATTAAAATTGATGTAATGTGTAAGAATGATGGTTTGTATTATTTAATAATATTGATAATATTGAAGATAGTAGTGTTGGGTTAAAGTTGAGTTAGATTTTGAATATGAATTAAATGTGAATGAATTATTTTGTAAACAAACATGGTAAAAAAATTGGAGAATAAAACAAAAGGCCTAATGGGTTAACTAACATGTTTTCTTGTTGAAATGAACAGTGGTGTGAAAATTTCGACTAAAATATAAATAACCCATCAAAATGTATATTCAAGTTAACTTTCTTATAGGGGTAAGGTTATAAGTTTTTTATTTTAAAATTATTACATATTTTGATTAAACGATTAAACTAAACGATAATATCAGTTCTATGGATAAAAGTTCAGTTGGTTCGGTTTAGAAAATCGACGAATTGAATTAATTTGGTTTTATAAGTTCGGTCAATTCAATTAAATGAAATTAATTAATACAAGTAATTAACCAATAGTATATTGACACGTGTCTTGCAATAAATACACTTTGGACAGTACACTAAGTGATGGATGGCCCCATAAGAAAACCATCCGATGGCTCCATAGAATTTTTGTAGTTTATCATGTCAGCAAATTTAAAAACTCTAGTTCTTTTTTAGAAGTTTTACCAAGAAGAAGAAGAAATGTGCTAAAAACTCAAATTGAGTCACATGCACGAGCATCGTAGAATAGAGCATGAGGAGATAATAATGATGCAAAATTCTGACACTTGGATTAAATAAATGAAGAGGAAAAATACTCCCACTAGTTAAAAAGAAAGTTGCATGGAGTTAATTCCTCTCAAATAGGTTGGGAGCCAATCAATCATTCACTTCTTTGATTTCTCACTCTAATTTGCCAAAAGGAAAAACTTGTTAGTGGGCATTTTTCCTTTTTTTGAGCCATAAGGGTGATTTATTTTAGTTATTTATTGAAAAAAAAAATCAACCCCACCCCCAAAAGATATACCTTTAATTTTAAACCCTACCCTATTTTCCAAAGTGGAAATGCTCCATTTATAATCTCTCTCTTACATATAAGAAAAAGCTTGAGGTGTTCTAGGCTTGACACGTGTTTATTTTTTAGCTGACTGAAATACCCTGCATTGACTCTCTTTTTTCACTTGCTACCCTGCCCCTCTTTTTCGGATTTTTCTCTCGCCTTCTGGCTCTGATATATCAAAACGACGTAGTTTACGTCCTTTATTATTTTTGTTAGACTAAAGTAACTTTTGATTTTCTCCAGATTTTTGGGGAATCATTAATTGCTGTTGTGCTTTTTCCCTCTGTCAAGCAATGTCAGATAAAATGACACAATAACCTACCAAGCAATTTCCACGAACAATTCCTCTCATTTCCAATTCTCAAGAGGGAAGCGACGGCAGTTCTTTCGAAGAAGCGAGCCGAGAAGGAAGAAATTGAAGCAGGAAAAAAAGACGCTGAAGATAGCTTACGTCGGCGATGATGACGTTGACGACGACCTGTATTATGAAGGCGACCGCGAGCTGTTCATGACCTTAAACGACAACTGAATCGTCGATGGTCGGAGCCGAGAAGGAAGATGGTGACAGAGAGGCTGCTGCAGCCTGACGGGTCACCGGTGAGGTTGGACGAGATTTTTAGGTGGACACGACTACCAATTAGAAGGTACTAATCAAATTTCTAAAACCTAAATCTGTCTTCTAACCTCTTTAAGTCACCCACCAGATGCTCCATTTCTTCTCCGCCAACTCTGTGAGCGGTGACGAAATTCGCTCCTTTTCCTTTACATATTCACGCACCGCACCCACACTAAATCGCCCAAAGATAAACCTCATCGGAGAGTTCCATAACGACAGGTAGGTGATGCTCGCCTCCTGATTCTTTTCCACAGCGACAGGTAGGTTCTAATTTTTTCAATTCCAGAATTTGAGACCTTATATAGTTTTTACATGTGCAATATCATATCCATATTGATTTCTGCCAAGTTAGCCTTTTGCATTTAGTCAGTATGTTGTAAAGACACTGATCAAGAAAGAACTACTATGCATGTGAACTGTAACAATAGACGTTTTTTACCTCGAATTTTTAGCAGAATATTTTGTTGTTCCTTATTTTGCCTGTAGTTTTTATCTTATAGAATTTGTCCTTAGTAGAATTTCATGGTATTTTCTTTGTGTTGGTTATTTGAATGGTTCTATATACTTTTAAATCCCATCTGAATTTTCTGGTTTTCTTGTTTTTTGTCTAGGAAAACTTAGTATTGATTCCCATGTCAGGAGGAAGTTCAAAGGATGCACCCTGATGCTAAACATCGGCTATCTCAAATGTTGGTCGTGTTTCAAACGAGAATTGGTAAAATATGTGGCTCCCTTGCAGTAATCATTATTATAAAGCAGCAAAATCAACTGCACACTTTGAGGCCTTCTCACAATGCCTTTTGGTAGAGGTAGTAGAACCAATAGTCCCATATGTTCCATATTTCTTGAGAAACTTAATGTCTTGAACTAAGTGCTTGTTTTTGTACTATCTACTATGAACATATTTAAAATCTCAGTGTGTTTTCTTTTCACAGATTATGTTCTTTCGTCCTAATAAGACACCCTTTTCTCCATTCATCAGGCTCTGAGCTGCTCGACCAGCACACAGGCCTCGAGGTCATTTGAGACTCCAGCCTAAAACTTTGCCCCGAAAATCCGATCAGGCAGCCACATCAACATCGGGCCCTGCAGCTCGAATGAGGGCGACACATCTGTATTAAGCAATGAAACCACTTCATATATTGGAAAGGTAAGCGAGGATATTAAGCTTCAAGCTTTCTTTCCCATTAAATTAGTTGTCTTACTTCATGTCATGTCTAGCATGTGTATGTTATTTTTTGAAGTTTAGATTAGATATGAATTGTCAATTTGTTTCGCATACTAACTTAGTTTGAATGTTAGTGTCGTAAGAACAAATGGAATTGTTTTCCCGTTTCATGTGACACGTTTAGCTTTTGCAATTGTCATATTGTGAAAATTACAGATGTTCTGCCTTTTCTCATTCCTCTAGATAATTTGATGACAACTGCTTTAATGCCTTCTACGAGCTCTCAGATCCAATGGAAGACAAAAATTTATTTCTTGAAGTAATGCCAACAGATGACTCGCAGATGAAACAGATGGTGGTTGAGCTTGATAAAGGCATGGTAAATTAGCAAGTATGCAGACAAGATTAAGAGGTATGCATTCTCTTAAAATCTGGCTTCAGTGATATGGTTCACTGAATGTTTAGATTAACTCATTTGTTCTGTGTTTAGAGGAGCAGAAGGTGATCAGATCATTTCAGCAAGAGTTGAATTATTTAAAAGAAGAAAACAAAAAAGTGAGTATTCTATTGTTGCATGTTATTTTATGAGCAACATGACATTCATTCTTATGTCTTCCAGACCATGCTACATTTTTTTTTACCAAGTATAGTTTTTAAAGCTTTTTTAGAACGATGATAAGTGAATACCTTTTTGTTATGAAGACATGGTTCTCAGTCAGAGTATGTTGTCGTGTATAATTTAACATATCCGCCTGTATGTCTTTTCCTTTTGTGGTGCTCTGTTAGGATGCAGATGGTAAAAGCAAAATAGGGGATTTTCATACTCAATTCTTTTCTCCTTATAAAGGTATCAACCACTTCTCTTATTGTTGATGTTTTAACTTTTTTAGCCTTCACCATTACATTTTCGGAGAATGGGGCGATATGAGTCAGATAACTTCATGTAATGGAAGGACAATCATTTGTATACAATGCACAATAACTTACCTTTTCTTTTCTTCATATATTTTTTTTAACACGAAAGCGCTTTTTTTTCCAGATTGCGACCATAGTTTTTGCTGTGGATGAGAATTCATTTGGTGTTGTTCTTCGTAGAATTCTGTAAGCCCACTGTAGCTTCTGTTCTTTCTTTCATAATCCTTTATATATATATATTTCATACTCATTCGTAATCAATACAAAGGAGGTTGCATTTTTCTATGTGAAAACAGATTAAGTTTTTTACAACAAAAACTAATTTGGTTCACACAATAAAAACAGCAATGCACAAAAAACGAAGATGCACCAACAGCAAATGGAAAGGGATGGAAATGAATTAAAATTTAAATTCAAATTGTAGTCGCTATTTGTGCATGTGTGTACATTTTTACATATATTTGATATTTTCTTGGGAATTCTGGATCATTCTGCCAGTGTCTTTACAAATTGAATTTGTGTGTGGGAAGCATAGGAGTTGGACAACATGGATAATTTCTCAGCGTTTATTCTGGATTCTCGAAGCCCCACGCTGGTAATATTTGTGTGAAATATACGTAACAGCTTCAAAATATGATTTATTGATCATATTTGTCTCCACAAACACCTATGCTTTGTTCTTATCTTAAAGAAAAAAAAAAAAAATATGCTACCAATTGTCACAGTTGTTACCGGACGCTATGTACAACCAGTACAATACTCATGTGCCGCTGCTCTGTACTTTGACAAGAAAGAAGGACGCAAATACGAGGTTACCATGAAATCGATAGATAACCGCCTCCACTTTGCAGATGGGTGGGAACTCTTTGTTCGAATTGAGGACATCCGCAAGGAGTACACGCTTTTCTTCGAATGTACAAGCCTGACGAACTTCACAGTCACGGTAGGGACATATAATGCTGTTGAAAGGCGTCCACAGTATCGGTTCACATTACACGTGAAGAGAACGCATGTTCAACACGCACGCTTCGTAACCCACTTAACTCCTCTCTATAATATAATGCAATTAGTTAGTAATTAACTGCATGAATTATGGGTTACTTATTCAGTTAATATCGTTGGATTTTCGTCAGCACATTCCAATGAGCTTTTGGAAGTCGCACATCAAAAACAAAATAAGAGACACTAGGCTGGCTTGCTTGATGTTTAAAGGGGTTGTCTATTCGCTTCAAGTGATCGAACGACATGGTAAGAAATTGATGGAACATGGCGGCGCTAAAGAATTTATAGAGCATGTTGGGATTGTCGAGGGATCAATATGCAGTTTCACGTTGCTTCCAGCTCCTAATCTATCATTTAGGGTGGTTGTGTAGCTCAGATTTATATATATCGAATTTTAACGTACTCTACTTAGTTCGCCAGCAACATAGTGTGCCTTTTGTGATCACCTTTTGTGTGCGTAAATGTTATTGTTGTAGAATCAATTAAGCGTGTTTATGTTGTGGCGCTTAAAGATTCTGAACCAACCAAACTTGCTTACCCAAGTAGTGAAGGGGTATTTCTTTTTGTAGCATGTGCATGCTATTTCGACTGAGGACAAATTTCAAGTGTATTTTTAGACCGAATATTATTCCGTCGTGAAATATGACCGAATTTGACGCGAAAATATGAACTGAACAGACTAAATTTGAGTTGGTTGTGTTTATTTTTTCTAACATTTTTACTTGTAAAAAAAAAAATATTTGTATTTTTAAATATTGATAAATATTGATTATAATTATAGACAGGACTAGAGCCGGCTGTGCGTGCACAGCCTCCTGCCAACTAGTATTTTAACATATGAGGGACTATTATGGATTTCCATTTTTATACAAAGCATTAATGTTGCACAATTGAGATGTGTAGATAGTTATTAGATGAACCATCATTACTTAGTTTTCATCACAAATTTGTCCATCATGTTTCAACTATTGTAAGTTGGAACTCAATATTAAGTCAGTGCACCCATATTCTTTATGTTTTTATTTATTGACATATGTCCAAAATGTAAATATATCAAGACAAATGTCAATGCACCATTTATCGATAATTGTGGATGACTACATAAATTGTGTCATCCAATTGTTCCATAGCAGAACTATTACAAAGATGGCACAATCCTTGAGAATGAGATTCTCCATCACAAAATGGTGCCATGATTCTATAAAAAAACAATTTATAAAACCCTAAGATTAATCAATGATAAACTTTAATTAGTTATGTCAATTAAGCTTGATTATGACAACTTTAATATGTCAATTTTGATGCATAAATTAGAAACGGACTAAAAGGAATAATAGGAGCAGTGTTTAAAAATACCGGTATGTACCGACCAATATTACCAGTAATACCGGATACCGGTGGTCCAACCGGTATGATTAACCTCTAAATACTGTTTTGACTAAAATACCGGTTTATACCGGCTTCATACCATAAAACACCGATTTTACCGAACAATACCGGCTAAAATACTAGGTGTACTAGATTTTTTTAAAAAAATATTTTTATAACATATTTTTATTAATTTATTTATATAAATAGAAAGGTTTACACTTAATATTAATATATTTTCATTATTTTTTGATTTTAGATAATTTTAATATTTATTATAGTTAGTGTTATACATTATTTATATTATAATAATAAATCAATTTAATATTTATTAAATCGGTAAAATAGACGGTAAAACCGATTAAACCGGTTGAACTGCATACCAGTGGCTCGTTCGGTATGATCACCGGTACGGTATTTAAAACATTGAATAGGAGTATTAGTGATGAAGTTCATTACTATGTGTACTGAAGTGGATAAATTGGAAATGATCCATCCACTTTTGAGCTAAAAAATAAACTTTTACACAATGTTCAAAATGAGTCATAATATATACTATTTGTTGCAAATGTGAGTGTGAAGGAGAGTTGTGAAAGTCATCCTTAGTCAATAGTGCTAACCATGTTACACCCTTTAATTTTCAAAATATTTATTAATAAAGACTAAATAAAGTTATATATAAAGCTAATCTAAGTGTTTCGGCCGCTGCCTGGCTGCCACCTTACCATCCAGATCAAGATAAAGACTATTTGATTGTCGCTTAATTAATTATTAAAGTGATTATATAATTAGTAGAAAAATAAATTACTGTATATATATTATTGTTCCTTTGAAAAGGGATTGAGTTTGACAGAAATAATTGTAGAGATTAATTAAAAAGTTTTTATGGTTGGTCCATAAAAAAAATAAAAATCAACTATGCTAAATAATTTGTTGAGTATTATGGAATATCACAAACTATATGAACTGAAACTTAATAATGTAGCTACAATATATGAATAAGAAGTTATGGGAAGATTTAACCTAACCAAAGTTAACCACAAAATGGTTTATACCATATAAATAAATAATAATATCAAGCAATTACAACATTATTTATATATAGTGATTCAACAATTTCAGATTTAACCTAGCTTATACCAATTATGAGAAGATATTTTGTGCTTCTTATGGACATTCTTAAAAAAGTTATGAACATGTATGCAAAACTAGAAAAAAGGGCTCAAAAAAACTTTCGATCAATAATTAATTAATGAAATTAAGAACATTCTTGTAACTCTGAAGTTTTTGAGGACAAAATTGAGTCGAGAGGCGTGACACTCACGCTCCAACAAGAAGGAGACAACTAGGGTTTCCAACTTGGCCTTTATGGGCTTGTCCTTTTTCATATGCTGGTTTCCACATAATAAGGAAAAAAAGGTGAATAAAGAAACAAGGAGAAAAAAATTGGATAGAGTATAATTATTTTAGGATTTATTTAGACGAGAAACGTCGGTTTTACCTAGGCCTATAAATGAGCCGAGCAGAGTTGAACTCGAGCTTAGGGTGCTCGAGCTCGAGCCCTTAACGAGTCTGAAATCAAGCTCGAACTCAGCTTTTTGATCACTAATAACAAGTCGAGTTCGAGCCTTAACGAACTGATTTCAAGCTTTAACGAGCTGAACTATAGAAAATTATATAAAAATTATCTTTTCGAGCCATTATGAGTCTTATATCGAGCCAAGTCGAGCTCGACACGTTAACCAACTGAGCTTTATTAAATAAGTTCAAGCTCGGCTCGTTCTGAAAACCAAACCGAACTCAATCCTTAATGAAACGAGCTTAAGCCGAGTCGAGTCAGGCTCGTTTAATTTAACAGCACTAGTTCTACCAACAAGAAATTATTTTTATCGATTATTTTATTCTTAGGTTACACACACTCATACGCGATCTAACATTAAATAGTCGTCCCATGAGCAATAGACATGAATTTAGCGTTACGTTTGGTAAATTGGTACATTTTCTTTTATGTGTGGAATTATGGAATATCACTTGTGAGTTGTCCCACGTTGATTCTATAGTGAAAATGAGCCTAGTATATAAGCCTAGTGGGCTACTCGTCTCATCACCAAATGATTTTGGGATGGAATCTCACTATAGTGCATCTAGTCTCACCTTCTTATGGTGCGCTTCATCTGGTGAGACCGCACCCTCTTCCACCGATTCCATAAATCTAATAGGAATTCATGTGATAAAATTGTGGAAATATTCAGCATAAAGAAAAATTTGTGAATCAACTCTTATTCTACCAAGTACACTAGCACATGTAAAAAAAAATGATAAGATTCTTACTAATTAGAATTAATGATTGGGCATCTTGAAAATTAACTAGACTTAATTAATAACATAATAATGTGATTCTTAATTGATATTTTTTTTTATGTAGGTGGGTTATGGGTAAAATATTTGATGGTTATTTATTCTCGAACCTTTACTACCATGCCAATTTGAAAGCCTATTTTTTCGGGTATAAGTACTTTTGGAGCCACTTGAACTAGTTTGTAAAAGATGCAGTTATTAATTAAATTTGAAAAGATGCAAAAGCATGCACGAGGTAAAAGCTAATTAAGAATGTATTTCATGGAGGTCATGCGAGATGATATTTTTTAACACCAATTGATGTTATATTTTAACATCAATTTTATACTTTTAATCCTGCGTGATGTAATTTTTAACACCAATTGATGTTATATTTTCATAATTAAGTATTGATCACAAAATAAATCTTGGTCTCAGATCATGTCTTTTGAAGAAGACTATTCGAAATTGAATTCAAGAAATTATTGACCACAATAAAAATAAATAAAAGCTAAATATCAGGTTGATTAAATAAATTAAACTAATTACAAGCAATCAATAAAATCATGAAATTGAGGTAAATAAGAGCTAAATAGCATATTTTTTATGATATTTTTTCACGAGGTAATTAAGAATGATATTTTTAATCCGCATGATGTAATTTTTTAACTCCAATTGATGTTATATTTTCATAATTAAGTGTTGATTATAATTAAGTATTGATGAGCACAAAATAAATCTTGGTCTCAGATCATGTCTTTTGAAGAATTAACACTGTTCGAAATTGTATTCAAGAAATGACTGACCACAATAAAAATAAAATAAAAGCTAAATATCATATGCACAAGGTTGATTAAATAAATTAAACTAATAAGAGCAAGCAATTTAAAATCATGAAATTGATAAAATAATGCTAATTAAGCACTCCATATTAAAGAGATAATAAGAGAACAGTATATGACTCTAGAACTTGCAATTAAATAATCAAATTCTAAGCTAAATTTTGAGGAATGTTATCAATATTAACACTGAAATAACTACTCATAAAGCCTATTATACTAAATATCAAAGATTTACACTATTAAAGCATGTAATATAATGAAGGCATCAGTTAGTTATAGACCAGCATCAAATCATAAAATTACATATATTAATTTTTCAGCTCTAAGAGAATTTTGCCTACCACAAAAATCAATTAATTTTAACCCAACATTAATTAATTATAATCAAGGAGCTTGGGCATCGAATTACACTTATAGTAATTAATCAAAGGGTAAAGTCCACTTTTGGTCCTCCATGTTTAGGGGGTATCCAGACTGAGTCCCTATTATGTTTTGGTGCCCAATTTTAGTCCTTAAAACAAAAAAAATGAGTCCCTATTATGTTTTGGTGCTCAATTTTAGTCCTTAAAACAAAAAAATGAGTCCCTATTATGTTTTGGTGCCCAATTTTAGTCCTTAAAACAAAAAATGAGTCCCTATTATGTTTTGGTGCCCAATTTTAGTCCATAAAACAAAAAAATGTAGTCCCTTTACCTCAATTTCTGTGAATTAATGGTCCACTTTTGCTCGACTGTGATGTTCTTTATTTTTGTTAAAATTTGTTGATTAATGTCAACTTTGACTAAAGAAATATAAAAGATAATTTAAATGCTGAAAGTATATTAATAAAAAATTAAACTAAAACAAGAAATTGCACTAAATTAAATTAAAATTTTTGCTCGTTTGATTTCTATTTCCCTAGCATTCGCGCTGCGGAGCAAGCCTGGAATCACAGCTAATGCTCTTGCACCCATTTCCGGGTCATGCCATCGAAAAAAATTGCACCTATCAACCCTCTGTTTTTTAACCATTTCTTATCATATTCCAATTGAAGTTCACGGAAAGTACTTACAGGATATAGAGGGCAACTCAAGAATCTTCTCCCGAGATTATCATCCTTCCAGCATGTAGTCAACTTTGCAACCAGCTCACATCTACAAAATACCACACTATTTCCATCCATTTGATCGGATTTAGTCCCTAGGCGGTTAGGGTTTTTTTTTTTACGTTTCACTGTAGTTCACTATTTCTGTCTTTTATTTTACTTTTTCAGCATTTAAATTTTCTTTTATTTTTCTTTGGTCAAAGTTGACATTAGTCAACAAATTTTAAAAAAATAAAGAACATAACGGTCGAGCAAAAATGGACCGTTAATTCAAATAAATTGAGGTAAAGGGACTATATTTTTTTTAAGGACTAAAATTGGACATCAAAACATAATAGGGATTAAATCTGGATACCCCTAAACATGGAGGACTAAAAGTGGATTTTTCCCAATTATAGGGACTACATTTTTTTATTTTAAGGACTAAAATTGGGCACCAAAACATAATAAGGACTCAGTCTGAATACCCTCTAAATATGGAGGACCAAAAGTGAACTTTCCCCTTAATGAAATGTCATTATCTTTGGATACTCGTATGGCCAATTGTTGCTCAAAGGTCTCCAAACAATTCTCAAACCCACATCCAATTAAAAGCAACAAACAGAATTTATAATAAAATATATAAAGGTAGAATTTAGCAAATTAATTTAATAATGAAAATTGTGTTTGCGTGTCGAAACTTTATTGGATTAATCGTGGGGAAATATTATTCTTCATTACTTTGTGGAAGGATTTAGAGGTGTTATTTTTGGGTAAGGAGCTTCTAGAAAAATTTCAATTTATATTATTTGATCCATCATAGTTTACATTTTGATTAAGTGATAATTTTTTGTTACTTTTTTCAGAGTTTATTTTGCTTGATATTTAGATTTAATATATTTAGCAGTCATGCTTCAATTATATAAAAAAAAATACTCTAATAAATTTCTAAGAACCACCACTTTCTTTTTAACAAATGTTTAAAACTTAATAAGGGATTGAGAGAATATTTACTTTACCATTTTAATTTTTACTTTAAATAACACCAAAACAATACAATTTTTTATTTGATTTTATAAACTTGCATTTTAACAGTGTTTAGTTTGGTTTGACTGCTCAAATTGCATGTTTTAAATTTGTTTAAAAGAAAAAAGGAAGAATCAATACCCTCAATAGTAGAAAAATTGGTGGCAGAAATGAAAATTATATTCTTGTATCTTTATCTTTTTCTTTATTTTTACATTTTTATTAGCAATGAGCATATGAAATAAAAAAAAAAATAAAAAAAAAAATGTGAACATCCTTAAAAAAATGTGGCTAAAAGTGGAAGCCTATTTTTCAACAATCTAATTCCAAATTGTGATTATGAGGGTGTATTCAATTGAGATTTATACAGATTTTTTAAAACTTTAGAAATCTTGGTGCATTCGATTTAAATTTGTTAAGACTTTTTAAAATTTTTAAAAGTATTGGAGGTATTCATTTGAGATTTTAAAAAGTCTTACAAAATTTAAGATTTCAACACAATACATCTAAAACTTATTAATTATTTGTCATGTTTGGAATATGAAGAAAATAGCTCAAAAAACAGGTGGAAAGAGAAAATAAAGAATCAAAGTCGAGATATGTAAAAATATGTACTCCTTAGATACAACGACTTTGACTTGTGTATTATGGTAATTCAAATTCATATGCCTTCAACTAACACTATTATTGTATCAGAACTCTCAATAATGAAAAGAACACAAAGAAGTTTTATGAATTTTGTAAAATAATGCGAAAGAGATCTCAATATGATTATCCAAATGAAATGATATCCATAGATATTTATAGATATTAATTAGCATTTTAAAGAGTTTCATGTGTTAAAACTTAAAAGATACATTTCGAGACGTATCTGATTACCAAAACTGGATTAGCAACTTTTTGACATTAGCAGATGTGTTTAAGTCACGAGCTCATCACACATGTAACAAGCCTACCGTCGCAAACCATGACTGGCATGACATGTGCCTAGCAAGTATATTTTGTCCGTTTTGTAGTCCGATCAACTTTCGATCTACTTAAATTAAAATTTGAGTTATATAAACTCAACTTCTCCATATCTCAACTTTAAAACTAATTTATCAATCAACTTAAAATAGTTTTTTGAATTTTTATTCAAAATATTGCACTTAAAAAATATAGAATAAGTAAAATCGATACAAAATCAATTTTTCTTATAAAATCAAACATCTCAAAAATATTATCATTAGAAATAATTAAAAAAAAAAAACAGAGGAAAAAAATTTATTTATTGTGTAAAAAACCAGAGGATTGTCAAAAAGGACAAGTTATTATTTCAGCCGGCGCCAGATGTTCTTTGTTCTCTATCCATTTCGGCCATTTTTATCACTAACCCACACACGCACACCAATTTTATACACAGCCCCCACACACACTTTCTCAGCACGTACTACAGTAATCAACTTTAGCTCGGTGTATAATATATTATTATATATATATCTTTGTGTGGCTTCACCTCTGATCACTCTTTTTTGTCCTTTTTTCCCCTGATCTCAACCATAAAGAGAAAAAAAAAGTAAGAAAAAATTGATCTTTGTTGATGGAATCAAGTGGGTTTTCTTCGCCGAGGAGGGAGTGTTTTCCGGCGGGTCTCCGAGTTCTTGTGGTGGATGATGATCCCACGTGGCTGAAGATTCTGGAGAAGATGCTCAAGAAGTGCAATTACGAAGGTTGTCATTTTCTGGGTTAAAAATGCAATTTCCCGTTTGCCCTTCTTTCTTGTTTGTTTGTACGGTTGGTTGTTTCTTATTTATTGTATGTTTGATGGGTTTTTTTTATTTATTTATTATTATTATTTTTGTTTCTGTTTGTGATTATGTTTTCTTTTCTTGGTAGAGACTGCTGTTTTATGTTGTCTAACATGTTGATTCCCTGTCTGGGGACTGTGTTGTCAAAAATTGCATAAGCTGCTGCTAATGGAGTTCTTTGAAGCAGGCTCAAATTCACTGTCTGTGTTATTTACATTTACTGTTGTTGTTTCCAAATATATTTTGGCCTTTTGTTGGTTGATTCTTAAAACATGTGTGAACAACCATTATAACACGTTTTACTTGTTATATTTATGAACTGTTGACCCATTAGATTCCCCTCAGAGTTATCCTTTATTGTCCATCTTCTTTGTGCATAGTGCTTCTTTTTTAGGAATAGCCTCTGTTGATGAATATTTACTGCAAATTTTGGCTTTAGTCCACTAATTTTTAGATGAAACTTTTATCAGATCAATTTGAGAAAAGAAGAGTAAATAAATATATCGAATATTAGTGCTTATGTCTTATTTACCGATTATATGTGGCTTATGTAGACTTTATAAGATCCCTGAAAGCAGGAACCTTTACCAAAATGCTCGGAGTTTCTACGACTTTCTTTCGACACATAGCAAACTCTGAAACTTATAATGATGGAAGGACCTTGTAGGAGTATAATAAGTGTTTGTAGCATGGTATGATATTTGATAGTTTTGCTGTTAAAATTTACAATATTGCTTGTTCAGAAATCTGCTGAGTAAACCGAAGTCTATTGCAAATAATTTGAACAAGTACAGCATTAAGCTTTAAACAACTGAAGCTCGGTTGCACGTAGACTAATTAACTGATAAGTATAGTATTTTATAAGTTACAGATGAAACCTTTTAAAAACAAGGTGATCGTTTATTCTTCTAAGCAAGGTGTTTATGGAGTCACTATTCCAGAATATTTACTATTGCCCAGATGAAGTATTTTCTCTGACTTAAATGAAAAAAAAATAATAATAATAATAATAATAACAATAAAGCTCGAAAGGGTCGTGTGTATCTGCAAACTTCTGCTTCTGGTTCTTGTTAATCGAATAAAAATTGAAAACCAGAGTTTAAATTCCATCTCTTCTTCCAGTTTCACCATTTAGCGTAAAATGAAAAGCTCTTTCAAACTCCTCCAAACACTCATTTTTAACTCGGCTGACCTGATTTACATCTTCTTTTAGCTAACATTACAAGCTAGTTAACTTCTACTTCCACTTTCGTGACTATGAAATTGCTTTTTAGGAAACAAATATAATTTTTTGCAAATACTATCATAATATGATGAGGTAAATGTGCCATGATCGGGTGAAATGAATGGAGGATTGTCTGCTTGATGGCTTCAGACAAAAGATAAATTTATCCTACACTTTATATGATTTCTTAAACTTGAAAATTTGCACTATTTCCATATTCTTATCAGCACCTAATAATTTCGTGTGTTTTTTTTCCAGTGACCACATGTAATTTGGCGAGAGAAGCCCTCGACTTGCTTCGAGGGAGAAAAGATGGATATGACATTGTAATCAGTGATGTTAACATGCCCGATATGGATGGATTCAAGCTTCTAGAACATGTCGGCCTCGAGATGGATCTACCTGTCATAAGTGAGTTTTTCTATCATTTTTTTTTTGTTATAATTTATGTTAGCTACAAAAGCTACGCTGAAAGTTTTTAATTCCTAAAAATAACTTCCGCTGCCTTTACAAAATCACTGCCTACACGAAGTTTTCAATTTATCTTGAAAATGTGCAGTGATGTCGGTAGATGGTGAGACGAGCCGAGTGATGAAAGGTGTCCAGCATGGCGCGTGCGATTATCTATTGAAGCCGATAAGGATGAAGGAGCTTCGGAACATATGGCAGCACGTTCTACGAAAGAGGATACACGAGGTGAGGGACACTAGTGAATGCCACGAAAATTTCGACGAGATTCAGTTGATGAGAGGTTTAGCTGAACAGTCGGACGAAAGCTATTTATTTAGTGGGGACTTTTTTTCCGGAAGGAAAAGAAAGGACGTTGATAACAAGCAGCAGCAGCATGAGGATCGAGCGTGTGGCGATTCCACAACGTCCGTGAAGAAAGCGAGGGTCGTGTGGACTGTCGAGCTTCATCAGAAGTTTGTCAAGGCTGTGAATCAGATCGGATTCGAGAGTGAGTCGAGCAACTTTTTTTTTTCCCTTGGCATTTTCAGCTGATCTTATATAGTTAGCATGAAATATGAAGTGATATCATGGCTCATGTGTAATCTTGGTAGATTTTTTTTTTTTTTTTCTCTCATATTTTCCATTTTCGAAAATGTGGATTTATCTTATAATCGTTTGGCAGAGGTGGGCCCGAAGAAAATACTGGACTTGATGGGCGTGCCGTGGCTAACAAGAGAAAACGTTGCTAGTCACTTGCAGGTACATAATATGCTTTCTAGCTTTTCATATTTTTAAAGAATGGTGTGATATTATCTGCAAATGTTTGATATTTTGTCATTTGAAGTGTGCAAACAGAACATGCCAAGTTGCGCTTGAGAAGAATCGTAAAGAAATTTTTCCTTTTTGTTTGCTTTCAGAAGTATCGACTCTACTTGACCCGGTTGCAGAAAGAAAACGAGTCAAAGGCCACGTTTGGGGCAACAAAAGATGAAAATTATCCTATTCCGGTTGACAACATTGTCATTCACAATGACGAGACAAAAATCAAAGAAGGAAATCCGATTCGAATACATTCTGTAGCTGATGTGGAGCCCAGAAAAGCTGTAGGTTCAAAGCGTTCGAATGTAAAATATGAATCCATGGCCCGAGCTCAATTCTCGTGGGCTACTGAAGTTCAAGTTCAAGTTCAAGCTCAACCTTTTCAATTTAAACATGAGCATAAACCACATTTCCAAACGGAGCCTAAGTTCGATCGCTTCACGAATATTCCCATGCATCACATAAAAGTCGATCCAGTGCAGCACGGTACACTCCATAATCCTGGTCCGTCAGGCGGAGATTTCGAAAAGACAACACAAGCATTCGGCAGGAACAAAACTCAATGCCCCAGGAAAGTGTCAAAAGACGAAAATGACCCTGCATTGTTCACAGTTCAACCGGAAAGTCATTCATGTGACACAAAGAACCATGGTTTAGATAAGGACCTGTTTGGTGATTTTGAAACTTCCTCTTCTTCCCCGAAAAACACGGTTTTGGGTTGGGACGAAAAATTAAACGATTATTCAACGCACGACGAAGAATTTCGTCTGCCAGATGATTTCTTTGGGAATCTAGAGTTGCTTGGATATGCCAATCACGAGATGATTGCCGATTTCTCGCAACATTTGTTCGACCCTTTGAAGTTCGACTCGAGTACTTCAGTGACCACGTGGAGTATCCTGTAATAATTATCAAGGTCTGTTTTCGTATTGGCGATGTTCTGTTTTACGTTCGACTTTTAAAATATTCGAAGTCTGGCTTGTAAGAAACTAGAACTATTACTCTTTGATGTGGTGAAAAATTTGCATTCTTGTTGGACATGAATATTGCAGTGTGTATCATCATCACTTAAGGTTTACATATACTTAGCAGCATTGTGTAGAAAAATAGAAACCTCAACTGGAGATCTCATCATATTATAAGGTCCCAACTAGGGCTACAATACAAACGAGTCGAGTTGAGTCGAGCCTGTTGAACATTAAGATTGATTTTTTTTCTCGAGCTCGTCGAGTTCAATATATGACACTCAAGAGATTGACTGGACAAAGAAAGACAATCGGTCAAGCTCGGCTCGAGATCGATTGAAATCAAAATGCTCGACATATTGCTTAAGCTCGACTCGAGTTCGACTCGAATTTTAAATAAAATTACCATGAAGTACATGTGTAAAAAGTATTTTACAAATTCACTATATTTCTCAAGTCACTCGCGAGCTGACCTTCTAAAACCTATGCTCGAGCTGACCTTCTAAATCCTATGCTCGAGATTGACTCGATAACATGATCAAGCCACTCGAGCTCAATTTGAGTTCGGTTAAACTTGAGCCGCGCTTTGACTCGAGCGTTTGCAGCCCTACTCCCAACAAAAACCAAGAGAAGCATGTAAAACACACCCAAGTGACAATGCAACTGGATTTCATTCATATTTTCTCACAAAATATCCATTAACAACAACAAATACGTTTTATCACTCCACATTGACATCAAAAACCTTTGCATTGCTACTAGCTTTAGGTACAGTGATGTACAAAACACCATCTTTAACCTCAGCCTTAATTTTCTCAAACTCCACATTCTCCGGCAAACCAATCCTAGGATTGTACCACCCATAGCTCTTAGCTGTCCACTCGCCGTTTTTCTCTTCATCATCTTCCTTCTTCTCGGCCTTCACGACCAGAATTTTCTCCTCGACATAAATTTTAACATCCTCTTTGGTCATTCCAGGCATGTCGAATCTCATCTTGTATTCATTTTCGACTTCTTTGATCTCCCATGGAGTTCTTCCCCTTCCGTAATCGCCCGTTTGGGATAGTCTCTGGCTGTTGTACGCATAAGGATCGTCCATTATTCTCTCCATTGTCTCCATCATTTGCTGCACGGTTCTTGCTGTAGGGAATCTGTCCCATAAAGCTGGATTATGTTCCAAAAAAAAAAGAAGAAAAAAACAGATTAGCATGAGAACTGAAAAATGTCAAGCTCAAATTGGAATCTTACTCAACTCAATACAACAATATCCACTCAATCCCAAAATGAAACAGACACTGCAAAAACCTGATTAATTAATAACTCAATATCTTTGCATTTAGTTACAAGAAACAAAATGCCACAAGTTTTGAATAGACACTAACAATACAGTAGGGCTAGTATGGCTACTGGTTGTCTAGCAATTAGACAACCATATTTTTTCAACAAATATACACACTTCGAAACTAAAATACCATTATCTACAAAATAACAGGACCAAAAGCATAACATTTCATAATATAAATATGCATGATAGTTCGACCTGCCTAATGGAAAAGGAAATGCATACCCATTGGAACAACTTGAGCTGGTCTTTTCTGGATCTTCTGCTTATTAGGCCTCTGTGTATGATCAAGATTGCGTTCACCCCTGCTTTGATTCGCCACGGCTTTAACCGCACGCGCTGCCCGATTTCTGCCATAAATAGGAAACCTCGCTAAGTTGGGAAATCTTGATTGTTGGTTATCAGGGTTAGGATTGAAAAAGGTTTGGGACGGGATTGTGTGGGAGATTGATAAACAGTGGGACATTTTCTTTTTTTTCTCTCTTCTTCTTCTTCACAGATGCTAAAGATTATATCTTTTTTGCAAAATGAGCTGCAGATTTGCTGGTTGTTGGTTGAGTGAGTGAAAAGGGAAGCTGGCATGATATTTAAAGCGGAAAAATGATGGATTCTGGAAAGTGGTGTAATGGGTTCGAAGCATTCTCTGGATATTTCCAGAAGTAGTTGTTTTCTTCTTCTGATAAGGTTTGGAATTTTGTGGCCGAAGATGTGATGAGAACCGGGCCAATCGAGCGAACCTGGACAAGACATGTTGTTTTGCAGCAATTAATCATCAATGTAAAATAAATTAAAAATAAAATAAAATATAATATCTTCATCAATTTGATACGACGCCGTTTATTCCTATATGTGGATAAAATTTTGGAAATTCCAAATGGGTCACTCAAGATTTATATTTTATGAACTAACTAACTTTGATAAGTTTTTGTATGTATTAAAGTGAAATGGAGTTGATATAACAATTCAAAATAGAGTTTGATAAGCAAATATGAATTCTCATATCCTTGTGTGAGGAGTGTGTAAGTAACAATTAGATATAAGATAGCTATGTTATGAAATGATATATTTTTATTTATGTAATTTTATAGAGTGTTATATTTCAATTTGAAAATATACCTATCAATTGAAAAATATATTGAAAATGATTAATTGTCTGATTGCTAGATCTATAACAGCGATGTTGATGTGAATTTTGTGGTGTCACAATAAAATGAACACATTAATTTTCATTACAAGTTAAAACTGCCCATATATTGGAATTTGGCGTCCCAACTTCAGATTCACTAGGATAAGCTTCAAGAATTAGAAGTACTATACATTAAAAAGCAAGTATAATTTTGCAATTACATTTAACCATCAATAGGAGATAACTTAAAGTTGACATTACAGCCAGCACTTCTTCTCTAGGACAGCATCAACAAGCCAAACATAATTTACCAACTTCTAAATCTTTCCACTCAACATAAGAGCCATAAAATGAAAAACAAAAAAAAAAAGAGCAAAAAAATAAAAGTATCCAAATTGAGTTAATTAGTGGAATTACAACACATGCATAACAAATTTCATACTTTACAATCCAACACCACTTTTTTTCCTTTATTATTTTTTCATGGGAAATCATCTCCGAAATAGCCAAAACCATCCCAAATAAAAGGATTATCCATGACCCAACTCTGAAAAGGATCCAATGGAAAATTCCCAAGAGTACTCTCTTTCATTTGAAACACAACTGAGGACCCCACATCTGAATTGTTCTTGAAAAAGGTGTGATTTTTATTATTATCTTGATTTGAGCCATAGCTTAATGAACCTTCTGTAATTTGCTGCATTTGGTAGACTTCAAGAGGTGGGATATTTGAGACATTTTCAAGAATTTCCATTTTTCCATGAATAGTAATCTCTTCACTTCCTGTGCAAGATTTTTGATTTTCTTGCTCAGTTAATATTGGCTTGTGGGTCAATGGATCTAACCCCAAGAGCTTCATTTTCTTCTTTATCCTTGTGTTCCAATGGTTTTTTATCTCGTTGTCTGTCCTTCCTGGAAAATGTGCAGCTATTTTAGACCACCTGATGCAAATAATTAAGGCCAAGAAAAATGTTTAGGCTGAAAATCCATACATGAATTGAACAGAAATTAAAATGTTTTAGAAATTGGAAATCTTTGGTTAATTATATATTCTATTTCATAAATTCTTATATGAAGCAGCATAATTTTCATAAGGTTATTTAACTCGTCTATTATGACGAAAATATATGTTTATGCTATAAAATGTCACACTTTTATTTATTATATGTCAGAAAAAAATATGATTGCATAACAACAGCCTGCTAGTTCGAGTTTTATACGTTGTAATTATCGTATTTAAGGTTGGTTTCATTTTATTTTATTTTTTACCTGTTACCTAATCGAGAATGAAGTTCGATTATCATGTCTTCTTCTGCCTCTGTAAATGCTCCTCGTTTAAGATCTGGCCTTAGGTAATTGATCCACCTCAATCTACAACTCTTTCCACATCTCATCAAACCTACATTATAATCAAAGAACAATCATATGAAAATGAGACAAAAACTAAACTCACAAAAGACCTTAGTTATATTTCAAAGTCACAACTATATTTTTCTTCAAATGTTACAAAACACCTATATGGTTTATTTAATGTACCGAATTCTAGTGTGAATTAATGCGCATATGGGTTTTTTAACCATTAGATAAACACACACTCATACTAACCTGCAAGTTTCGGGACAAGCCGCCAACACTGAATCCCATTGTTTAGGATGAAGTTCATGAGCTTAGAATCTTCTTCCAAAGTCCAAGGACCGCGTTTTAATCCGACCTTTTCACAACAAGGTTGTCGTCCCATGATTGACAAAGGGTACGTTTTCTAGTGATTTTCGTTCGGTTTAAACACAATTCTCAAGTGTGTTTTGAAGAACAAATAGTGCAAGAACTCTTCTTCTTCTTCTTCTTTTTTTCTTTTTTTTTTGAACTATTTTTTTTTTTGGAGTTTGATATGCATGGAAAGTAGTTTTTATATCATTTTGGCGGCCGAAGAAAAATAAGAGGCGTTGTTTATATATTCAAACCAAGATTCTTCCAGCTAATGCACAGATCAAATGGCTAAATTTTTTAATCAACCTCTCAAGTCATAATTGAGTTTGAAAAAAAAAATGAAAAAGAAAAACATTATATATAGTTGGGATGATAGCATAAATATTAAATACGTAAAATACCCATGATGGTTGTGGTAATTCAAAAACAGACAATGAGAAGTTAAAGATTGACATGAAAGCCCCTGAATTAATTTGCTATTTGATTTCATCTTATATCGTACTTCAATTATTCAATTCAATAAATCGGTTATCAGTTATCTGCTAATACAATAAGAAAAACGTAGCCTATATGTGTATGAACTATGCAGAGAAGTCATGTAAATAAAATGTAGGAAAGTTTAAGAGATGTATTTAGCTAAACATGCATATTAATTAGATCACAATAAATTTTGTGGTTTTTTTAGTTTTAAAACTTTCAGATTGGGCTTTTATGCAATTACATCAAACCTTAGGTGGTCATTGTAATTATCCCCTATAGTATAATGTATAACTTTAATTTGGGATATGTTTAATATACTTAAAAGTATAAATTACACAAATGATTGAAAGTACATAGAGGCATTGCATAAAAGATGGTGAGAGACGTGAGTCATTGTCGTTGACATGTTTTTATTTTTATTTTTAATTTTTAATTTTTGTTTGTTTTATAACTTTTAATATTAATGTACGGGTGATTTATTTAAAAAAAAAAATTGAAAAACAAGTGGACAAAAAAAAAACAAAAAATTGTGGGTGGACTGAAATAGAAAGCCCGTATTTACCAAATACGTTTTTCTAATTTTTTTTTTTAACAGAAAACGTATTTAGTAAATACGTCTTCAAAATAAATTTGTTTACTTTTTTAAAAAACATATTGCCGAAAAAATGTATAAACAATATAATTATAAAACGTATTTACGAAATACGGTTTACAGAAAACCCCAAAATTAAATTGGAAACCCTAAAACCTAAATAAATCAATTTTTGTTTTATAAAAAAAATCAATTTTCGTTTTAGAAAACGTATTTAATACATACGGTTTTTAATATTAATTAATTTTTAACAAATTAAAATAAAATAAAACGTATATAACAAATACGTTTTTTAATTAAATAAAACTATAAAACGTATTTGCCAAATACGGTTTTTAACAAAATATAAGTAAAAAAAAAACTGGTTCTCCTCCATTTCCATTCTGCATTGCGAGCTGCGAGCTGCGAGGAAAACAAAAAAAATTCACTTACCTCAAAATTAAAAAAAAAAAAAAGCTTTTAACAATCAATCGATTTGGAGAAGAGGTTAGTTGTTATTTTAATATAATGTAATTACATATTTTATTTTGTTTATGAATTTGTAAGAAATATTTGTTGGTTTTTTATGAGTATAGTTTAGAAAAGATTTATTGTTGATTTAATAGTTGTGTTAAATGATTATACATTGTTCTTTGATGATGGATTTCAGTGTATGTTGGCAATTTTTTCGAAAATTGGATGATTTGTATTGTATTGATGGATTATGACAATTAGGGTTTGGAGAGTTATTTTATAAAAGAACATTTGATTTTTTTTTTNNGNNA